GGTCAGGAGTGGGAAAGGCTGTCTGAGCCGTTTTCAGCCAGCGGGCTGGAAACCAATGGTTTGCTGTGTGCAGGTGGCACGGCTGGTGGAGTTCCTCATCGAAAACCACAGGGAACTCTTTGAGGAGGAGGTGGCTGGGCTTGCCGAGGCACCACCAGCATCAGGAGCAGAAGCAGAAACATCAGAGGTATGTCAGGGCCACAAACAGCGTGACAACAAAAGCCTCCCCGCTCAGAAGGTGGGACTGCTGCCGCAGGGACAAGCCAGGTCATCCACCAGCCTGCAGCTCTGCAAAGATGCAGAGTAAGGCTGGTGCAGGGTGGCCATCACACTTTGTGTGGTGATCCGGCCAGAACTGGCTCATCTGGGCTGAGCAAACCCATCCAAGGGATCTGCCTTTGGGAGCTAAGGCAGCAATGGGGCAGGGAGGTCCTTGCCACCTCTGAACTTCCATATTTCCATTGCAGGTGCCTCCAGTCCCTTCAGAAAGCCAAAATCTGAAGAGCTCCTCTGAGGAGAGAAGGTAAAATGAGCTAGCTTTGATTCAGAGGACAACTGATCCATGTTTGTCATGGCTTTACCTGTCTAACAATACTATTGAATGAAAAGATTGCCAGGTTCTTCGCAGGAAGAGGAAAACCAAGCCAACAGAAAGAGACAAGCAAGCTGCGAAGAGGAGAGTGAGGGCCAACCAAGTAAAAAAAAGGCAAAAGCTGGACACTCTAAGGACTGGGCAACTGAGAAAACCCAGGCAGGGCAACAAGAACAAGAGGCCCAGGTGTGTAACAGACCCTGCTGTCCGTCTTTCCAATTCTAACGCTGCTCTAAGGATAGGAAATATTCCCGTGGTGCACAGAGATGGCCCCAGAGAGGCAGCACGCTCCTGCCCATGGCAGACCGTGTAGGTCAGGAGAAAAATAGCACTCCAGCTTTGGCAAATCAAACACAGTAGAACCCGCTGGTCGAAAGAGTTGATCATCCCGCTGTATCCAGCGTTGGCGCGGCCTCCCCTTGGGTACTGTGTGCAGTTCTGGGCCCCACAGAAGTGTGAAGGCACTTGAGTGGGTCCTGAGGAAGGCAACAAAGAGGGTGAGGGGGCTGGAAGGCATGTCCTGTGAGGGGCAGCTAAGGACTTTGGGCTGGTCTAATTTGGAGAAAAGGAGGCTGACAGGTGACCTCATTGCTCTCCATGGCTTCCTGAGGAGGGGAAATGTAGAGGGAGGTGCTGACCTCTTCTCCCTGGTAACCTGTGACAGGGCAAAGCGGACCGGTTCAAAGCTGTGTCAGGGGACACTCAGACTATATACTGCAAACCACTTCTTTACTGAGAAGGTGGTCAAACACTGGAACAGGCTTCCTCTCTAGGAATGGTCGATGTCCCATGCCTGTCAGCGTTTAAGAGACACTTGGACAATGCCCTTACTAATAGGCTTTAACTGTGGGTCAGCCCTGAAACTGACCCACGGTGGCTCTCGATGCACGTTGTAGGCCACTTCCAAAGGAAATAGCCTCTCCTCCCCTCTCCTCTCCGCTTCCTTCTCACTGGATTCGCCAACAGAGGCTATCACTGCCACACTAGAACACAGTGAGGCAGTACCTCCAACAATACATAGGTATTCGTATTCTCATCCATGCTGGAGAAAGCAATGATCAAAGCAATTACAGGAGGTGGGAGTTTCTCGTGAAGGCAGTACAGCTGTGCTCAGGGGAGGCTAGAATTAGCTCAATTAGCATCAATCCAACAGGATCCTTCCTGAGATGAGTACCCCTAACAGTCTGGACATGTTGCCTGAGCAATCCATTGTGGTGACTACACTGGAGAAGAACTCAAGAGAGTTCTTGAACCTTCTCAAAGGGAAACAACAAACTGTCCAGATTCGTTAATATGGTTTCTTTAACTGAAAGAAATAAGGAAGTATGATACCAGTTGCCACAAGATGTCACAAAATCACCAATTCTTTCTCTCCTGCAGACCTCTTTGGTGCCACTGGTTCACAGTAGCAGTGGAGCAATGTGTCAGTCCTTTTCTGGGAAGGAAGCAAAGCAACATTTCTGACTTGTTTTTCTCACTTTTAGTGCCACTACAAATGTATCACATGTCCTCTCTCTAGATCTCCTTTAATTTAATTTCATTTCATTTCTTTTCATTTCATTATAATTCACTCTGAAGGCAACATTTCAAGGGGAATGTTCCTTGGTGAAGGATGCTGTAGTCACATTTATTTATTTATCACCTTTATTTGTGTGGACGATTCTGTATTTTCATTCTGGATTGACAGCAATGTGAGAAGAACATCTAGCCTAGGTCTGACTGGTAATTTTGTCTTGGCAGAGCGAGTCCTTCCCTACGAGTTCAAACACAGCCCTTCAGCCATGTTAGAGCGCTCGCTCTGCCTCCCTGCGGCTGCTGCTGAAGTATCAAGAAGGATTTAGTTGTGTGGTCAGTTTTTGGTGTTCGAATGTCTCTTGACATTAAGGAAATCTTTTGCATGTTATTAAAGCTTCACCATTTTCAGTAAGAAACTGTTTCTGTGATTTGTACGCACTTGTTGATTTCTGTTGCAATTCTTTTCTCTCCTTTACTCATCTTCAGATCTATCCGCCATTCTTCTTGCAGCTGTATCCAGGCCTGGCCATTTAAGCATAGACTTCGACAGTTGAGCCAAGAGCCCTTGTGCTCTCCGAACCCTCCCTGAACTAGTGCCATGATTAGTATGATAATACCAATCCCTAACACCCAGCCCTCAGGAATCCTGCAGAGGAGTGCTAGCAATGGGCACTGGATTTCGCAGCAAAGCACAAGCTGCTTATTCTCCTCTCACCCTGGTCCCTAATTCCTGTGGGTATTTTGCCCGCGTCTTTTTCAAGGCATGTTGAAGAGATTGCTGATCAGATGTCTCATACTGGACCCGAGCTGCATTTCTTCAGGAGGCTTCGCTTTGCCTTTTCAACAGGATGTAAATACGCAGTCTGTAGGCAGCTGAGACACTTTCTCCCAAAAGCTTAGAAACATTTTAATGTTAATGACTTACTCTACTGACAAGTATTGCTAGAGATGACCCAGGATATCTTGTGTACACCCCTGCAATAGCAGTCAGCGTGTAGCCTGACTCTCTTTGAATACTCCTTTCTCGTTTGACACACATCACTTTGGAGCTGCAGATCAGGCAGCTTGTGACCCAGCAAGCTGGAAGAAGCGGTGCTGCTGGGTTTATGCCCACTCTCCTCACCAAGAATGATGGATGCCCACTGCATTAGGTGACGCTCTGCAGACACCCCTTTTCCCAGGCTCTCAGGCAACTGCAACCGGTTTGTTCCAAACCCCGATGTGCCATCACCACCAAGAGCGTAACATTCACTAAAAAGGCTACTGTCACTGCACTTTTACTGTCACCTGGTAACACATGCTGTAAAAGGCACGTACTCGTTTGCAAAAATTCCCTGCATGCACGTAGGCAGTAAAATGGACTGCATTTATTTGAAGACATTTTTATATACAGGAACGAAGCACCTTTAAAAAATTCACATAAAGTCCAGACAAGTATTGGCCTCCTATTAGAATACAGCTACATATCTTACACGACTGTTAAGGTCAGGAAGGGAAAATGCAGACAGGCAGTGACAGGAGCATTGAATTACTCCACTGCATTTTTATTTACAACTACTCATTCTTGGCAGAGAGATGCTGAACCAACTTGCTCCGTACAAGAAGGGAGCACCCACTGCTGCCCTTTGGTCAGTGCAAGCACTTGTAAGGGGCACACAGCAGAACGCCCTTTCTTGTAACTCTTGCTCAGCCACGACCAGCTTGCAGCTTCCGTTAGGTGAATAACTCCAGATCAGCTGCATCCAACATTCCTTTCTTGCTACTTCTCCTGGAGTTCAGCTCTCTCTGGACTGATGCAGACACACCCCCTTCTCTCAGGCATAGCTGGAGTTTTGAAACCATTTTTTCCAAAAGCTCCAAATGCTTAAATAGCTTCTATTGCTTTGATACTTGAGCCCTGTGTGATGTCTAACGGGGCAGAGTTCCTTTCAGAAGGGAAAATACAATTGCCAGCCACAACAGGGGAAAGAAATTGCACGGCTGATCTGCAGGTCTTGCAATGATTGTGCAGGAGCCAGCAGAGCATGGAAATTCTGATGCAACTCTCCTAGCTGGCATCTGAAGTGTTTCAGGAGTGATGCCATCTTTTCTTCGTGGGCAAAGGCTCACTAATACCCTCAGCAATCACTGCCCTGAGTAATTACACTTCTAACTGCTGGGAGCTCTGCACCATGGCAAAACCAAGGGGGTTTAGAAAAAATATCCCTAAATCTTTGTTTTAAAAAAACCAAAAATCCCTATGCACTCAAAAGGGAAAAACATCAGATGTCAAGACCTTAATGTGGTCTTTCTCACCATTTCCCTGCCATTCATTTACCTGCCCCTGTGGTTAACTGAGAACTGCAGATCAGCATTTGGTCTGCAGTTACTAACCAGAGTCGACGGTGCTATTGTACACACAGCTGTCTGCTTGCTGGTGCTTTCTGCAGACTTAGAGTCTCGGCTAAAACACTGCAACACAAAGTTGGGCCCCATTCTCTTTTCTGTAGCACAGATGTCCCAATGTATATTGACATCAAAATAGAGGATTATTTAAATGCTGTTATGAAATGATTGCAGGCATCCCAGCCGTCTGCAAACAAAGCTGCCTCAAGTCTGAGCACTGACAAAGTGATTTGTCTGTAATAGGACTGAATGACCGATTTGTGCCTATTCCCCTTGGCTTGATGGAAATACATTGTACAGACTGTCTGCAGTTCTTAGATTTCTTAATGTATTCTTCTTTCTAAAATTTCTTGATATTTCTTTACAGAAATAAAGTGTCAAGTGTGTATCTGGCCAGCCTCAGTATTTGGATGAGTCCCTTCCTTTCCATTCCCTTGAAAAGGAAAGAACTGAGTATGTTACTACTTCTATTGATCTGGGAAAGAAAATCACCACTTTTTGTCCAGAAGGCCACTGGTCAATATTTCTATTATCTTGCTGTGCCTTTAGCATCATAGAATCATAGAATGGTAAAGGTTGGAAGGGACCTTAAAGATCATCTGGTTCCAACCCCCCTGCCATGAGCAGGGACATCTTCACAGAATCACAGAATGGTAGGGGTTGGAAGGGACCTCTGTAGGTCATCCAGTCCAACC